TGGGACAGAGAACCTCTAATAAGACTGCCACATAAGCTCATAACTTAACCAAGGTGAGTTGACTAATCTACCCTTATTCGGCTAACTCTAACAGATTCCTAGATCATTGACTTCGAGGCTTCCAACCATATAATTGGTAAGCCTACATTGTTTTCTTCATATCAATTGTTATCTGGGAGGGATAAGGTGAGACTAGTGGATGGTTTTCTTCATATCAATTGTTACCAACCATATGATTGGTAAGCCTTTATGTTCTTGAAGATGATACTGGATCAAAGTCACTTCCTTCTACAACTCTTATTAGTCACAGTAATAGTCATGTTACAAGTCAATTTTATTTGTTGCATCATTGTCTAGGTCATTTGTCTTTTGAAACATTAAAGTGCTTGTTTCCAACTTTGTTTAAGTCAGCATCTCTATCTTCATTTCAATTTTCTACTTGTCAGTTAAGCAAACATTGTATAACTTTGTTTCTACTGAATAATAAAAGATATTTTTTTCCCTTTCACATTGTTCATTCAGAGGTGTGGGGCCCTGCTACTATTATGACTAATGGTGGTTATCAGTACTTTATAACTTTTATTGATAATTACTACGCTCAATATACTTGGATATATTTACTTCACTTCCGAGAAGTTCCACATATAATAAAGGACTTCTCTTGCATGATTTACACCCATTTTCATGTGGATTTTCAGATCTTCCAATTAGACAATGCTAAGGAATATTTTACCCATGGACTGATTGAGTTGTTTGCTACAAATGAAATGTTACACCAAATCTCTTGCTCTTGGACACCTCAACAAAACAGTGTAGCTGAGAAAAAATACTGGCACTTGTTGGAAGTGTGTTGTGGTTTACTACTGCAGATGCACATGCCAAAAAAATTCTGGGGTGATGCTATTCTTTTTGCCACATATTTAATTAATCACGTGCCTAGAAGAATTCTCAAGTTCAAGGCCCCCATAAACTCATGTATCCTTAGTCTCCCCTTTCTTCTATTCCCCTTTCACGTGTTTGGGTATAAGTGCTTTGTTCATAATTTGTCTCCTTCATGGGGTAAACTTCTATTCCTTGTGTCTTTCTTGGCTACCCTTCATCTCAAAAGGGGTTATGATCTTGTGTTAGGTAAATCTTATGTGTCCCTAGACATCACCTTCTTTGAATCCCAACTGTATTTTACTGCTTCTCATCAGGGGAGAGTAATAGTGATGAGATATAGGTTCAATTTCCTATTTCCATTCATATTTCTTCTAGCTCTATTCACCAGCTATTAGTTATTTACATCCTCAATAGGTAAATCTTATACAAGATCCTCCTTGTATGACTTGGGATCACTCCATAGATGACAACAGATCAACCTCTAGGTAATGTACCTTTGTAGGAGGTAACCTTGTAACTTGGAGAAGCAAGAAACAGTTGGTTGTAGCCAAAGTCAGGTGCTGAAGCTGAGTACCAGGCTATGACACATGGAGTTATTAAATTGTTACAAATGAAGAATATGCTTATAAAGTTATTGGATAGTCCTATGGCACTGTACTATAACAACAAGGCTGCCATCAATATTGCCCACAACTCTGTCCTTCATGGTAGGACAATATTTAGATGGACAAGCATTTCATCAGAGAAAAACTTGAATTGCCTGATATTTGTACTCCTTATATTGTCCATGAATCAGTTAGTTGATGTACTTACTGAGAGAGTGTTTGCCCCTCATCACACTGAACTTTGTAACAAGTTGGGAATGATAAATATCTATGACCCAACTTGAGGGGGAGTGTTGTTTATATACTTTTAGTGTGTCACAGACAACACTGTTCTACTGTTTATGGTCACCCTAATATAAGGTGGGCAGCCACCAACTATTCTTTTTCTCCCAACAGTTCAATCTTCTCTTCTCTCCTTCTATTCCCTTTTCGTCAAGCTTTCTAACACTGAAAACACCTTGCCATTAATATAACCAGCATTTCCCCTTGCAACAAATGTATATTTTAATACCTTTAGACCACTCTAGGTAATTTCACCATCCAGGGGGGCTACAGCCATAGGAAAATTGATGCTATACATCCCTCCATTTAGCATTCCCTGAGAAGAAGTGATCCCAGAAGAAGTTGAATCCTCCACAACGATTTGGGATGATTAACATGACTGTTTCCTTAACAATAATCACCCCAAAACGAGCAAAGCAGACCTCAAACAGTCCACAGAGCAATAATAAACTCAAAACAAAGAGATGACAGTACCAAACTTCAACCAAACACCAATCACAGATTCTAGGAGCAGGAAAAACACTTCAGCCATAACCCTAAAACTGTCAAGAAAGGCTGATGAACCCTAGCTGCCAATAGAACACCTTACACTTCACAAAAAGATGGTCACTCAGTGCCCACAATTCAATAATAATTACCATGTGCTCACTACACAAACTCAGAGCAGATGAACAAAGGAATACCTGGAACAAATAGGATCACATGATCCACTGTAACATAGGAGGCAGAACTTACACCCCCAAAAAAACTTGTTAAATGTTCTTCACATCATTCAACCACCACAATGAATACTTGTCTTGGCGCTACTACCAAGACAGAAAAAGGAAAAAACGAGTGATCAAATCAGGACGAGCAGAAAATACTTTTGTTCCCAATCAAAAAGGTAAGTTCTTGGTGAGAAATATTGATCTGCTGTCTTCTACTGCCCAGAAATATGCTATTACCATATTATCCAAGAGAAAAGAGTAGAAAAGAGAAGAAAGAAGAGAAGAGAGGAGAAAAGTTTAGAGGCAAAAAAAACCTTGGCTAGCGGTGCCTAGAATATTATTTCTATTAGAGCATCAGTAATAAAAGGATAAAATTACAAAAGTGCCCTTGCGGCACAAACTACTAGAAAATACAAAACCTATCTGGTCGGAAATCAATAATTCAACCTTTCAGTTCAGGTCAAATGTGCTAACCCTTGATTTCATAATTAAATAATAAAAATTAAGAAAGTTAAAAACACAAAAGAGTTATGAATAAGTACATAAAGACAGATATAAAAGATTGGGGCAACATCACTTATCACTAATATTACATATTCATCATATTGAACAAAAATAAGTATGACAAATGGTAACTATTTTTATAAAGATAGAAATATAAAAAAAATTGTAGAAAATTTTGGACACTTACTATCATCATCATCTAAAATTGCCATGTGCAAAGAACATGCGCATTTTCCACTTGATAGTGCAATATAAATTGTAAATCTAATTAAACCTTACCTTATAAACAGCTCCAAATCCCCCCTCTCCTAACTTATTTTTGGGATTGAAGTCCTCTGTGGCAGATCTCAGTTCTACATAACTAAAAATATTGGCTCTGGGAGTTATTGCTAGAATCTCTGCAATTTACAAATATATAGGTTATAACTTCTGCAACGGGCTATCTTGCAGTGTAATCCTATTACACTTTCTAATGTGACCCAGTTAGTTGTATTGACAACAAGCATAATTTGATAGAAATAAGCCAAACACAGTCTTGAATGCATACCAACTTTAGAGTATTTTGCATAGAGTATGTCCATCATCAAGTAGATTTGTATTTAAATCATATAAGCTAATAAATAACCTATAATTAGATAATCTTTTGATTTTAAGCTTTGGGCTGTGGTAAAAATATGACCAAGTGTTGTAAGTGTTTCTTCAAAACACAATCTAAAGTCAAATCACTTTTTAAGTTCCAAAACATGAAGCCTAAAATTGGGGTTTTGTGCTCTAGGGCTTTAAATGTCAACCAGCAGCCAAGAGAACAGTAAACCAAGAAGAGAATAGGAAGAAGTAGAGAAAACACCTAGAGTGAACATGGTTTGGCTCAGTAGCCTACATCCATGAGAAGAGTGGGAGAAATATCCATTATGAGAACAAGAAATACAAGACTTACCTCTTATACTTACAACAAAATGTCCACTCTCACCCAACCCTAATTGCATACAATCATGGCTTAAATAAACAACCACCCAATTATAGCAGAATTTCACAGAGGCCCCTCTTCCTCCCATAAATACATGGAAGTCCCCAAAATTTATCAACATTACAAATTTACCTCTATAACCTACAATACCCTCCCTGAAAGAATACCCAAATACAATCATATACAATATATCTCTCTAAATTAAAAACACAAATCCTGAAGATTACCCAAATGCAAGCTAATTTCCACACAAAACTTGAACTTTAGATTGGATAAGCCTCATAATAATTTACTAGAAAAAGTTTGGAGGGGTGTTTTTTCCTGGTTTATTATAGAATGTATCAAAAGTTAATTCAGAGATTTTGTGGATATTATTCTTCTATTGGATCCATGGAAATTCTCATTAGAACAAAGCTTCAAAAGATATGCAGGCAGCTCCATAATTTGGTTTGAAGAACTTAAAGTCTTGTGTCCGAAAAAGTCATCAACATTAATTTAGATGACGTTATTTAACTTAGGGCAATTTGATTCCAAGGAAGGGATTTTCAAAGGAATATAAAAAAGAGTATCAATTTGTTGTGTGCATGAAAGGCACAAGGAGGCCCAAGTTCAATTTTTGTAAGCTCAAATTATTTTACAGTTAAAGGATTATGCAATAGGGCTGCAGCCTTGCCTAAAATTAGGGCCGCTTCAGAAGACAAAAAGTACAAATTTCGTATTTTGTAGAAGTGAAAATTATAGTTACAAACAAACAGATGCAAAATTTGTATCTGGTACATATTTGCACTGCAAACAACAGAGCCTATATTGCAAATGGTGTTTTTTGTTTATCAAGGTAAAACCTAGCCTCCACAACTTCCATTGTGGTTGATATTTGCAATAAATGTTGACAAAGGGACAATGGGCACTAGTGGTCTAATGGAGGGGACAATCCTCAGCCAGAGGACAAAGAGGTCTAGCAAGCCTTTTTTTATTATATCATCCCCATTTTAGTACAAAATGGAGAAAAAATGGATAAATATACTGCACAGGATAGCTGACATAAGATAAAAATAGACGAACCAATTATTAATACTCGTACATTACCTTCATCCTTGTGGATGCCTTTTCTTTTCCTTCGTCTCATGTAGAAGATAGCGAAGACAGATGTTGAGATGACAATTGTAACAACAACTACAATAAAAACAATCAAGCCTGTCCTTTTTGATGAAGGTGATTCTGGATTGCCAGGTACGGTTGGTGTGAAATCTACTCAGGAAATTCATAATCATATTTAATATAATATCAATTGAATGTCTACCACTGTTTTTTGACAAGCCAATATCTGACACATTAGGTATGCGTTTAATCAAATTCTATGTGATATTACCTGGAGTAAACTTGATGGCTGCAATGGATGATCCGTAAGAGCCATCTTCAGGTATTCTTTGAGTACCTTTTCCAGCCCAGAAGAGATGAATTTCAAGATAGTTCTCTGTTACATTAGCCTTAAACTCCTTTACAATGCCTTTAAACATTGTACCGGCTTCTTTTTCTATTTCAAAGTCTTTTATTTTCAGATCCCCCTGTAGAATTAAATTTTTACTACACCACATAAAAGCTTTAAAATTGGAAAAAATATTCAATAAAAATAGGTGGTGAGAAACAACTTTCAACTTTCTGTAGTGAAATTAAATTTACACTAATGCAAATGCGTAGGAGTACAAATCAGGACAGTAATTTTTGGTTCACTTTCACTTGGGGTTTCACTTTACTTTGCCACAGGTTATATTTTACTTCATTTAAGACTGCAGAAAAACATAATAAAGTAAAATTTAAAACAAAAAATAAATCATAATATGTATTCATCTTATTTGCACTCCCTTACTTTTGGACAGGCACAAGTGAAATTACATTGCAATCAAATTAGGATACTGATCGTAACACCAAGTGGGTTAAGATCAACTTTGTCATCTAGAAATTTTTTCTACATGAAGTGCACTACTTCTAATTATGAAACTAGATGATAACTTAGCTTAAACTGAGATACTGATTCATAAAACCTTTTTGACAAGAGGTTCTCAGAGGTATCTACATGTTGGAGGGAAGTTTTACATAATTTATATTACAGCCATTATTAAATATATCATAAATTTATGGACAAAAGTTCACTTTTTCTGCTGACATGGATAAGAACATGTTTTAAGTACCAGTATTCATACCTTCAAAGCATGAGCTGTAAATGTTATGATATTATCAGATCAGTAGAAAGAATACTAGGATGAAGTTAATAGGAGATCTGGTGCCTTTATATTGGCAAGATTTACAACCCTGATTGTACAGTGGTCTCATGTTGCATTTAAACCTTCTATATAAGAGATTAAGCTCTTAAGAGAATAAGTTTTAGTTATTCTAGCATGAATTTATTTTAACTTTGCACACCATTTTTATATTTTTCTTTTTTAATAATAAAAGTATGGACCAAGATACAGAACAAAATCCAATAGAAAAAATGAACCAATTTTTTAGTTGATACTACTAATGTAATATTAGCATATGTTGTTCAGAAAAAACTCTAATCAGGAACAATGGGCCTTCAGAAACCTGTGAGTGATGCCAGAAAGATGAGTAAGATGGAGAGAGTGGGGGAAGCTAAAGTGAAGAAGGTGATACTGGACACTAGAAAGATGGGTAAGATGGAGGAGACGATGAAGTCTTACAGGCGAGTCTGGTAGGAAGAGTGGTTGAAAAAGATGCGGAGATGGAGAAGATTGAAACTTCAGTGAAGTTAGAGTGGGGAAGAGTGGTGTTGGGGGTGAGGAAGCTGAATGCGGAACTTCTGCTGTTTATGTTTCACAGCAGGACTGGTGGTTTCCGGTGGCTGGAGAGCTAGTTGCTGGCAGGATGAAGTATGCGATGTGGATTGGAAAAGTTGCAATCCCACTGCATGCTTGGAGCATTCTGACCTTTAAGGAAATTGCTTGTTCCTGCAGCAGATTCCTGAAGTATGATGACAGAAACAGAACCTGGGAGTTGGACATGGCGAGGATCCTAGTAGAGGTCAAGGTCATAGCCAATATTCCAGATAGAATGGTTCTGGAATTTGCAGGAGAACCTTATGATTGAGAATAATAATTGAGGGGGCTGATGAATCATTTAGGAAGGAGAAGGCGGCTTCAGTAGACAGAAGAATAGATAGAGAAGAGGGGATGAAAGGAGAAGGAGAAGGTGGTGGGAGATGGAGGATAGGGAGAGTGAGTACAAGGGAGATCAAGAGTAAGGAGAGGGGATAAATAAAGGAGGAATTGGAGAACATGTGATAACCGATATCGCTAATGCTACACAAAAGAAAGGGGGTGGGGATCAGCAGTTTATGGGATTATTGGTTGATTTCAGAAGAAAGAATTAAGAGTTAAAGGAGTAAGGGGGCGAGGGGAAATTTGGAGAAAAGAGATCCCTTTTCAAAGATGGAGAGGTTTAACTCTCTGAAAGACAGCCAAGAGAGTAAGAGAAGTCTGAAAATGGAAGACAAATGGCTTTGGGTGATAAGTACAAAGGTGTTCCCATCAGATTCATCCATACAAGGTTATGGCACCAGATCGAATTTGAATCAAAATTTCTAATCATGCGTGGCTTCCATTTTCTCAGAGAGTTCACGAGGTTGTAACTCAACAGATGAACAGTAGTGCAGAGAACGGAAGTCAGGGTTGAAAAGGGGGAAACAGGGGAATAGAGGGAGATTGAGGAAATTACAAGGGAGGGATAAGAGGAGAAAGTGGGGGCTTGAAGCTGAGAACGCTGTTGGGGAAGACAATTCTGAGAAAGGAAGAGTGAGCATTGGTTGGTTGGTGGATAAACAAGTGGAAGTTGGGAAATCACTGGGTTAAGTTTTTCTGGGAGGGGAGTGACTGGTGAGAAAAGCAATTGAACAGTTTAAGAGAAGAAGAAGGGAAGAACAGAATAGAAAAGAAACATACTGGTGAAGGAGGTGAGGTTTGGGAGGAGTGGGAGGAGAAGGAAGAAGGAATTGCTGATGAGGAATAGAGGAAGAGTGAGGTTTGGGGTTTGAACCCAAAGATGAAGGAAGCTGATCTCATGGATTGGAAGGGGCCTGAGAGATGAAAGAAGGAGAAGGGTAGTAAGGAACATTAAGAAAGGATGGTTTGAAGGCGTATACCATCTGCAATTAGCTGGATCATATGAAAGGAGAGAAATAGAAGGATTCTAAAGACAAAGCTTGTAAGCTGGAAAGGTTGGTGAAGGATGCTAGCAAACTTGTTGCAGTCTTGGTCTTTGTATTTCCAGATAAGTTTCTATTGAGGACAGAGGACCTTGGAAAACTTTGGGGAAGTTTTTGGGTTTTCAAATGGAAATTTGAATAGCTTGTACTGAGCAGTATTTGAAAGGTTCTATTGTATTTCTCACTATGTCGGGTGTTGCCTTATCACCTGATTATGATGTAGTCTTTTTCTTTTCTATTAATGAAAATTTATTTTTATTTTACTACAAAAAAGAAAATTGTTGGAACTGTTTTAAGAACCAGGGATGAGCTCTACTTTATTCATTCTCTTAGCATTTAATGAATCTACTACAGGTAAAATGGCATAGTTTTGTCATTAGAAAATTAACAGATCCTTGGATATTAAAAGATAACAGATCCTTGGCTAAAGAGTGAAGTTTGAAGATAACAGATATGAAAAAAATTCAGATCCTTGGATATTAAAAGATTTATCTCTTAAAGCACAATACCTGAATATAAATATCGAAGATTCGCCTTCCAAAACGCTTCCAGGATTCAGCAACAAAATCAATTCGTTTATTTTTGGATACCCAATCAAATCCTGTCTCTGCAAAATATAGACTTACTATATACATTCCATTCTCAATACTTAGGCCGTAGTATCTTAGAGATCCTGGAGATAACCTCACTTGTTGAAATAAGGCTCCTGTTGAAGTATTTCCAACTTGAATTGGACTTGTAGTGCTATGGATGTAAATGAGATTTGCTTTATCAAAAAATATTCCAGCATTGCTAACTGCCCATTTTCTATTATCTGTTACAAAGTATGATGTTGCACTCATGTTATAATTTTCTTGATCAAATTCGTCTCCATTAGTATCTTTCATTGTTTCACCACCACAATTGATTGCAATTTTGGCATCTGTAAACAAATGAATAGAACAACCCCAATGGTTTAGTTTGGTTTCTATTTAATGCACTTAAAATATGAAATGTCTTTTTTATTATTTATCACATTTTACTGAAGAAAATATTTGCCTTAGTATAGTAATCAAAATTTCTAATATAAATTGGTAGCTGATGTATCTTTTTAGTGAACGCTTTCTATCAAATTTAATATACATATGCACAATAGTATGTGATGTCAAGGATCTCTAGTGTAAAGCCTTTCTATTCTGTCATACACATAAAAAAAAAAAACATCCACTTATTGTGTGTATGTGAAACCCTAGCTTGTAGCTGGGGACTTTAATGAAATCTTTGAGCTGGTGTTTCCTTGTACCTGGAAGCTTGTGTCTTCAATGAATTTGCTGAAGGCTTTAAGTCAGTAGAAATCTGCTGAATTAAAAAATATGAAAGAAAGTAGTTTCTTGAAGAGAGAAGGAAGAGAGAAGGAGAAGAAGAGAAGAAGAGAAGTTGAAAGAAAAGAGAGCAATAATCTGGCCGCCCCCTTCACTTGTTATTTATACTAAAATAATAGAACAGTAC